GGGGAAGGGAATTTAGGAACCAAAAACACATCAATTAGGGAACAAATGTGCTAAGACCAAGAGGGTATAGCAGCTACGTGACTGACAGGGAAGCTGTCCCTTCCTGCTCTGGGCATCAGTCCACTGTCTTGCTCTATCCCTCAGCCCTCCGGGTTCCCAGAGCACTTGTTCTCTTTGTCACACAGTTTGTGTTAAGGCAGCAAGACTGGTTTCCATGTGCACTTTATAGAAGAACTCTTCTTTCTCCTTATAATCCCTGTCCTTTGTCTACTTTTTCTGCTTTACAGCCTAGAAATTGTTTTCAAACGCAAAGATGATCTTTTAAAAGTACGAAAGTGATTATGTCACCCACACATGCCAGCCTTAATGGCTTCCCATTAGACTTTGGGTAAAGACCAGGCCCTGCCCGTCTGGCTCTTGCTTTCCTGCCCCATGCTCATCTCGCCAACTCATACCCCCAGCCCCTCACTCCCCTCCTTACCTCCACCCCAGCTCCAGCCCCAAATACCTATTTCCACTTTTTTGACTCCCAGGGACTTTGCTCAGCCTGGAATGTTCCTTCTTCCCTCCCCATTGAACCACACACTCCCACTCTAACACTAGTGCCTCTGTTATATATCCTTACTGTACTGATCTCAGTTAATAATTATCAGCTCATTTAGGACATTTAGGATCATTTAGGATCTTCAGTGTCAGCTTTCTTGAGTCAGGAACCACAGCTGGTTTTCCTCACTTAATGGGTTTTCATTCTTTGTAACTCTTTTTTTATTTACAGATGAGAGGCCATGGGATTATTTTTTCATTTTCCCCCTCTTCACGGAAGAGCCAGCGTCACTAAGTAGTAGGAGATTTTGAACTAGAATTCAAGGAACAGTGAGTTGTAATTTTACTTCCCACTCTCCTATGAATTCTCCATGTGACCTTGGGACCATACTTCCCCTGTAGCCTGTTTCCCCTTTTATAAAAGTAAGAGTTTAAACTAGATGGTCTCCAGTGTGCATCCTTCTCTAACATATAATTCTAGGACCTTCAATAGACTAAAACAAAACAGAAGAATTAAAAATTAATTTAAAATAACAGAGGAAAGGCAGCAGCTATACTAAAGAGAAGAGAAGTCTTTATGGTTGACCCAGGCTGCACTTGGTCATACCGTCTTTCCCTGAAAATAAGATCTACTCATAAAATAAGCCCTAGCAGGATTTCTAAGTATTAGCGCAATATAAGCCCTACCCCAAAAATAAGACCTAGTTAGTGATGGGCGTGGCTACGCAGCAGCGTATCTGCACAACCCATGCATTTCGTTGCAGAGCAGTAAAGAAGACGAGCAGCCCTTCTCATCTGCCCCATGAGAGCTCTACTGCTCGACATGAGAGATTGAGGCCAATCGTTCTAAAGGAAATAGAGTCGCAAGAAATTCAGGATGGAATTTGGGGTTTAGAGAGCTATGATGATGTTCCAGAAGAAGACAACTTAACTATATTTGAATAAATGTAGATTGTTGTACCGTACTTTAAAAAAAATAATACATCCTCTGAAAATAAGCCCTAGGGTGTCTTCTTGAGGAAAAATAAATATAAGACTCTGTCTTATTTTCAGGGAAACATAGTAGTAAGCTTGCACCCTCAGGCAGATTGCTTAATCTCTCCCGACCTTGACTTCCTCTTCTGTAAAATGTGATAAGAATACCCTCACAGGTTCAATGAGAGGATTAAGTGAGATACTGTACTATAATGCCTTGAATATGGCCGGCTGTTATGTTAAGTTCTTTCCTCCTTCTCCCTAACTGTCATGGAATTTAAAAGCAGATTATAACTAAATAGGGCATGAGTTGAGACTAAAGGCTCTATTGTCTCTGCATGGGATGGCTTATGTATGTATGTTTATTCCTCTCAAGAGGTTTTATACCACCTGAAAAATAATTGCATCCCCCTGAAAATTCACACTGCATTCAAGTGATTCTGTCCGACCCAGCTACATCCAACAATTTTAAAGTTGGCTCCAAAGATGCTTACAGATGTTTCCTATCTTCATGGTACAATGGAAAGACCATGACTAAAGTTCACATTCAGGCTCCACTGCTGACCATGTACTTAATTATGTCAGTCACCTTCACTCTGTTCCTGTGTATCACAGAATGAAATGAGATTTCATTGGAGGAGGGGGGGGGAGATATCTCAAACTTTTTCTTTCTTTTTTTTCTTTTTTGGTTACAAGGATCCTAGAAGCATTAAATGATGTCTGAGATAGGAAGGACCTTAAGGATGATCAGTTTCAGCCCTGGCCCTTGGCATTGTTGGTGATAAGAGATTCAGGCATTTATATGCAGTGGAAAGAGAAGATTGGGCTTGGAATCAGAAACTTCAGTTCAAGTGCTGAAGTTTGTGACCTTGGGTTAAGTCACTTAAAGCAACCTGTACCATGAAAAGCATCACCACAATTCTTTGAACCCACAAGCTCCAGTCTTATAAAGTATGTCCACTCATCTACCAACATATATCATGTCATCTTGCATATATCATTTTGTGGATCATGAGAGAAAAACACTGATTCTTAGCAAAACCCGTGGCACAGTATAAGTGCACAGTAACTTTTTTTCTGAATGATTTAGCTGACAATGACTCAAGAAAGATTTTTAAGGCCTCTGAGTTGAGAGATGGGTCCCTGAAACCACCCAAAGTCCCTGTCACGGGAGAGCCCCCAGCACGCACACACCCAGGCCCCAGTAGAACCCTCCCCAGTTTGTTTCTTTCCCCCTTCCCTAGAAGGGATGGTCTGGGAAAACTTTGTTCATGCTCCCAGAAAAGCAGGCTCCCCAAAACAATGCAAGGACCTTTGTTTAAAGGTTCTTCCTTTAAAAACTCATTTTCAAGAAGGTCATGTGAAGAAAAAGGTTGAATGATCCTCTAACACAAGTTGGCTGTTTCTCAACCAAACTCTCCTTAAGAAATTCAACAACCACATTTGGGGAATTCTCTACAACAGAGGAGTGAAGATGGGGACAGGATGGGTGTTGCCACTGACGGTAGAACCAAGGGTGTTTTCCTGGATTACCAAAGAGGTGCTAAGTATTGCTCCCAGAAACTAACCGTCTTCAGAGTTTCAATGGCGGCCTTCACCTGAAAATGTCCTCCCTGTTGAAGTTTTCAAACCAATATTTTCATAAGAACAATATTTTCGTCGGTGAACTAAGGTATTACGATAATGACTATATGGGTTCCCAAGCGACTGAAGCCATCATTAGTATTGTTATTATTTTTGTTTAGTTGCATCTCCATAGCAGCAACATTCACGATGTGCTTTGCAATTGTTTCTTAGTAATAGTCCTCACAAGATCCCCAGAAGGCAGAGGAGGGAACCCAGATTGATGCCTGAAGGGGAACCAAGGTAAGCAGAAATGTAGAGAGTTGGCTGCCATCACTGTTCATACGACACCCCCCACGCTTCCTCTGCCCCAGTCTGGTCCTACACTTACGTCGCCCACATCTGGGATGCTGGTTACTTCTGTGGCTCTTGCTATCATTATTATAACACCAAATCTATGTCTAGGAGAAACTAGACTGAGCATTAGAATCAGAGTCAGAGATTTTGCCCGTGGAGTAGCCCTTATGATCATATAACCAATGCCATGTTTTAGAGTTAAACAGGACCAGAGATAATACATCCAATACACACAAGCCACTTTACTCCCAGTTCCATGCTTTTTTGCTTGTTTATACCATGTTTCAGTATCTCATTTTTCTCTTTATCTTTTTTTCTCTCCTCTTCCATCTTCTTCCATATATTTCCTTCCTTCCTTCCCTCCTTCCTTCCTTCCTTCCTTCCTTCCTTCCTTCCTTCCTTCCTTCCTTCCCTTTCTCTCTTTCTTCCTTTCTTTTTAGAGATGAGGTCTCACTACATTGCCCAGGCTGGAGTGCAGTGGCACGATCATAGCTCACTGCAGCCTCCAATTCCTGGGCTCAAGTGATCCTCCCACCTCAGCCTCCTGAGTAGCTGCGACTACAGGTGTATGCCACCATGCCTGGCTCATTTCCTTTATTTAAAATTTACATGGCTTAAACTCCAACAAGGAAACCTGAAATATTTGTTTGCTAAGACTATGGTATTTTACCTCCTGAACCAGGCTGGCCTTGGGAAATTGAGAAAGTCTTTAATAATAATGACCAGGCAATACTGGTGCAGTCTCATATGTAAGAATCCATGCCCTCTTCTCTCCCAACCTACATTCCCAAATTTAGGCACTGGCTTCTGGCTGGGGCCTTGCCCATGCCTCCTGGAGTCCCACTTGTCCTCACACACCTTAGGTTTATCCTAAAGAAGGGCAGATTTCTCTTTGGGTTCTAACAGAGGGTCACTTTTCTGTAACATGACTAGGGGTGAGAGTTCTCTGCTGAAGGTCTGTCACCTCTGTAGGAAATGTGTTGACAATACACGGAGCAATAAGAGGATCACTTTTTTTGATCAGATATCACTTTTCTCTCCTCCACTCTGCCCTCACCAGGAGGTTGTCACCTCACACTCAGAGTGATTTATGTCTTATGCAAGCAAACTTCCATCCTCTGAAAAGATGGCTCATTTTCCCTCAAATGCCATTACCTCACCAGGGCCAGCCAGTGTTCTGCCAATTCACACTCAGCCCATGGGCACAATCAACAAATTAAATGAAAACACAAGCTACAGCCACTAAGCTTCTCTCCAAATCTAAGTGCCTATATTTGTGATTTCAGGATTTCTACCTTCCTCCCCTGCTACATAGCTTTAGAAACTTGATAAGTTTCCTGCTCTTCTTCCCTTTTTCTAATACATGTTTATAATCGTACAGAGCAAAGCTATCAATAACTCCTGGAATATCTGTAAACAATACTATCACATATGCCATCTTCATTATTTTAGCCAGTATCAAGTTAAATAAACATAGAAATTGAAATTCTTAAGAAACCAGAATTATTCCCTGTGAATTCCCCGTGATGCAACTCACTTGTGGCCACGCCTACCCAGGACAATTACAAAAGGGTAAAGAAGCCTGACTCAGGCTGAAGCTTCCAGCCAGAGAGGGAGTCATTTCATTGACGCTTGAGTCAGCAAAGGTATTGTTCTTATTACATCTCTGGCTTTTAAAGTGTTTCTTTGTTTTTCTCCTCAGCTGTTTTCTCTCAGACTGCCTACCTTCTCTAAAACGACAGCCTCTCCCTTCTTTCTTTTCTTTTCTCTCCGTGGTTTGGTGTGTGAGCTACAATCACAGTCCAATTTCAGAAAATGATTCTGTCCTTTTACTGATGGGAAGCTGGGGATGGAAGAACTGGCTTCCTCTGAGGGCATCAGTGGGTACAGCCGAGCCTTCCTTTGGGAAGAAATCTCTACTACCAACAACTTTTGGGAGAAAATTGAACATTTCCAACTCTGTCTCTCTCTGGCATCTGTGTAAGACAAATACCTTATTCTTGTGGAGTTATTTTTTAACCAACTCAAACTTTCATTGAATACCTACTATGTGCAATGCATTGGGTTCAGCACATAAGGAATGCCAAGATAAATAAAACATTCTGAAAGAATCGTATAATCTGATAGAGGAGGCAGATGCATACAAAAAATAATTCAAGAGGGTGAGAAGAAGAATGGGGGAAATGCTGAGTGTGGACTAAATCATTCAATGAATTTTCTCAAGAAGCACAAAGTGGATGTGTCTCCCCTTACAGGCATCTGGTTCAGAGGCTATCTCAGCTGACAGCCACAGGTGTTCTCCGTTGCAGAAGTTAAGATGGCCAGAGTCCCCGACCTGTTTGAAGACTTGAAGAACTGTTACAGGTAAGAAATAAGATTCTATCTCCTGTTATTTAACAAAGGGTTCAAGGCTCATCAGAATCCAGCAAGGCATTACAGTGACCAGCATGAAGCCAGGCAGAGGCTCCAGAGATGTGTACTAGCCCTAAAGTCAGAGCAGGTTCAGAGAAGACCCAGGAAAACTAAGCACCCAGCATGTTAAACTGAGATTACATTCGCAGGGAGACAGCCATTTTAAAGAAATTATTTTTGAGGTCTGCTGAGTCCTATGTGAATTTCAACATTAACTTAGACAGCCTCGGTTGAGTTCATATGCTCTGATACAGGAATTGATTTTAATAGACTGTGAGAGAATCCATTGGCAGGAAAACTTGATCTCAGTTGGGAGTAGAAAATGGCTCCATGACAATTTGAGCCTGTGAATACACATAAACAGCCCAAGCTCATTCAGAAATAGAAGAAATGTAAATGAACAAAAAGTTTAAATTATGGAACCTTTTTAAACTAATGTGATATTCCTCTTATCTATACTAAATACTAACACAAATTAGGCTGTCAAAATGTTGCCTGGATATTTTACCAAGTATAAATTATTAAATCTGTCTTAGTGAATACATGAAAGCAATATGCAACATATGATCAGTTTGGTTAAAATCAAAATGAGATGCTTCAAAAGTATTATATTTCTTTTCTTTTAAGGAGCTTAGTGTTTTTCCCTGAAATTAAAGTTCTTCAATTTATTAGCCAACCCCAATTTTTATAGCTAAAGCCCAGGTAAAGTTCAAGGCCTATCCGGATTACTAATTCCAAATTAGTGAGCTATGAATTACTGTATGTATGTGTATGTATAGAAGTCCTTAATTTTCAAAGATGCCAGTAATGGCCGCGTATGTGCGCACTCGCGCGTGTGTTACCCGAAGCTAACATGGTCATTAAAATAGGTTGCCCAGGGACCATAATGAAATAACAAACAGTATTACATTCTCATCATTTTATTTCAACAGTGAAAACGAAGAATACAGTTCCGCCATTGACCATCTCTCTCTGAATCAGGTAAGCAAATGACTGTAATTCTTATGGGATTGCTATCCTTATACAGTAGTTCTTCATCACAAGAGAAGAGAAATGGCTTGAATCTTAGATGCTTTTGTTTTAGCTTCACTAGAGGTCCAGAGACCTGCATTTCTTCATTATAAGTGAGGCCAGCTGCCTCTCTAAACTAACAGTTGATGGTACTCTTCATCTTCACCAGCTTTTCATGGAAGAGAGCAGAACTATCCCAAATCCCCAAGAATTGGAATCTCCTGGGCCAGGTTTCATCAGGATGTTAGTTATGCCATCCTGGGACAGCCTCTTTAGGCTATTTCACCAGGAGTCTCTCTCTTAATGTGATACATTGTGGTTGTCCTCTCTGACACCAACATCAGAGGTTAGAAGGCATCCTCCAAACACAATAGCCCATGAAGCTGAGGGACAGGAAGCAAGACAATGGAAAGTGGGAAATCTGCAACCACTCACCAAGCTGTGTGATTGTGTTTGGAGGCCACAAATAGACAGTAGAAGTACTGATATGTGCATCTCTGGTACTGGCTTTAAAAGCTGTACCCAAAGGAATATTTCTAAAATAGTTTGAGCATTATCAAGTAGATGTTTAACCTCCTAAGAGGGAACTAATTGGAAGGCTACCACTCACTAAGATCATTGTTAACCTATTTAGTTACAACATCTCATTTTTGAGCATGCAAATGGATGGAAATTCTTCCCAAGAAATCACATCCTTCATCCTGGAAGGAATGAAGGAAGGGGAAGGAGAGGGGGAGCAAAAGAGGAAGGGAGGGAGAGAGGACTGATAAATGAGAGTTAACCAAGACCAAAATGGAGATCCTATGCCATAGACAGCCTCTCATTTTCCATTGTCTTTCCTCACAGAAATCTTTCTATGATGCAAGCTACAGCCCCCATTGTAAGGACTACATGGGTCAATTTATGTCTCTGAGTACCTTTGAAACCTCTAAGACATCCAAGTTTACCTTCAAGGAGAGTATGGTGGTGGTTGCAGACAATGGGAAAGTTCTGAAGAAGAGACGATTGAGTTTAAATCAACACATGACTGATGATGACCTGGAGGCCATTGTAAATAATTCAGAAGAAGGTAAAGCCTCGAGCACAATAATATCCTTGCTTTCCAGTTTTAGGTAAATGGGGACAATAGCATATAGGAGAAAAGAGAACCTGGAGTCAGAATAACAGGTGGGAAACAAAGCATTAGTCTGATAACTATAAGGAAGACAAATTAATTTTTATCCTTCTCTAGCAGGAAGGGATTAGCAGTGACCTGAATCTAGAATACTTGCTCATGGGCTCATCTCTGGGCCATATTGTAAAGGTCTGTGACTTTTACTCTTTCAGGAGAAAGCAGCTATATACTGTTAGTGGTTGCCCACCTTGGGCATGTTATTTTCATCTTTCTGTGCCTCAGTTTCCTCTACTGTAAAATGGAGATAATCAGAGTCCCTGCCTCATTGGCATGTTGTGAAGGTTAAATGAGTCAATACTCCCAAACTTCTGGGAGAGAATAATGTCTGGTACATAGTAAGCACCCGATAAATGTTAGCTGTTATTATTTCTACTGCTATCACTACTATGACCTTTATTAATACTACCAGCACTACTAATTTATTAATGGGTGAATTCTCTCTAAACCTCACAGCAACCTTACATTGTCATTTTACATGAGAGGAAACTAAGCTCATTGAGATAAGTGACCTGCCCGAAGACTCACCATCTGTGAGAGAGCCTCAAATCTAATTCAGTTCTATCTGACTACAAAAATCAGTTTTTCGCCCATGCCTTTACTGTATAAGCCTCCACATAAAACATAAACCCAATATTCCTATTTTTAGGATAACATCTAAGCAATAATACATGTCTACCTAGAAGGTTTAATATGTGACAAAATATAAGAAAATAAAAATCGCGTTTATTGCCACTCAAAGTTTATCACTGCCAGCACTGTGGTAGGTTTCCTTAAAGTCTTTTCTATATGCATACACACACGTGAACAAACATATCTAACATTATTAGCATCACACTATATCCAATTTTATATCTAGTTTTTTTCACTCAGCAATATCAAGAACATTTTAGGGTGCTAATTTTTTGCCAGTATAAGTAATGCAACAATGAACATTTATATCAGTAAATTTTCATTTCTATCACCATTTGTTTCCTTGGAATAGATTCCTAGAAGCAGAACTACTGAGAGCCATGAGGACTGGTAAAGCTATTGATACATACCACTTTCCAGAAAGGTGGTAGACCTGCACTCTGAGTAACATATATAATTTTTAGTGTATTCATTTTTTCCTGAGTGAGTTCATTTGAAAGTATAGATAGGGAATACTGGTAGTCTTTCTGGTCACTTAGAAACCTCCAGACAATGAACAATGAGAAAGTTGCACCAATAATCTCTTTTTTAAAAAAAAAACAACAAAACTGCTTCCTGAGGAATCAAAGTTTAAAAAGAACCAAATACATAACCACAAGGATAATCCTAGAATCAATTCTACTGCTGACGGGATGATTTCACTTCTCTGGGTTTGCTCACCTGGACTGGAATAATCCTAACATCCCTTCCAGAGAGGGGGACGTTATGCTTTCTATGCTTATGCTTGAGTATATATATCGACTGCATTTATATGTAGACAGTAATCTGAACTTATGATCATGGTCTTAGATATCATTGAGCCCAGGTCAGCAGCTTCCAACTTCCTGAGCAACATGAGTTACCGCTTTAAAAGGATCATCAAAGACCAAGTCACCCTGAATGACACCCAAGGTCAAACTATAGTTCGAGCCCCCTCGAATGAGCACCTCTGGGCTGCTGCAATAAATAATAAGGACGATGCAGGTAAATAGTCAACTCTGTCGTCTTCCCCTCCTTTTATTTATTTACTTATTTCAAGCTTTCTGCTTTCAAAAACTAACTTCTTTAGATTCCTGGTTTGCACATTCTTCTAGAATAGGTTGAAGCACATCACTCCTGGTAAAAAATCTCAGGCTCACACCTGTAATCCTAGCACTTTGGAAGGCTGAGGCAGGAGGATCACTTGAGCCCAGGAGTGGAGGTTGCAGTGAGCTTTGATGATGCCACTGCTCTCTACCCTGGGCAACAGAGAGAGACCATGTCCCCCCCCCCCAAAAAAAAATCTCAGACAAGGACAGAAGTTTCAGCTCTATCTGGAAGTTCTACAAGAGAGAAATTTCCTATTTTCAAGAGCACAAGATGAAGTACAAAGCCTGCTGATTAACTATCTTCTTGATTCTTTTAGATATTCTTAACCCTTGATTTTAAAGATAAGGAAACTGAATCTCAGAAATATTAAATGACTTACTCAAATTTACCCAAAAGCCAGTTAAAAACAACCGCTCTTCTTTACAAAGCCTGCTGATCAAACTTACAAATAACACCAAACTAGGAAGACCTTTATTATCTTTGATAAAATAGTTGGTGAGGCAAAACCACCATTAAGCTGCAAATACAGTCTAAAAGATGAAGTTTAGTGTGCAAAAACTTTTGTCACACAGATCCACTTTTCATGGTGGACATGTTTTAGCTTCAGGACAGATCAACAGTATACAAAATAATTTTTAAAGATCCAAAGAGAGGCCAGGGGTGGTGGCTCATACCTGTAATCCTAGCATATTGCAAGGCCAAGGCTGGAGGATCACTCGAGGCCAGGAGTTTCAGGTCACAGTGAGCTCTGATGATGCCACTGCACTCTAGCCTGGGGGACAGACAGAGACCATGTCTCCAAAAAAGAAAAAAAAATCCAATGAGGCAACTGTGCAGTAAATAAGCAGGACTTTTTCTGATTGGATCTACTTCAGCTAACATGCTTTCCACTCTACAACATTTACAAATTATTTTGTGTTCTATGTTCATACTTAATATTATTTCATACAATCTTCCCACATATTGACAATCATATATGCATTTGCCATCTTTAATGGCACTAGAGTATTCTACCATGTTGCTGTGCTGGTCCCTTGGGTTTGTTCTAAATAGCTCTGTTACAAATATCTTCATAGACATTATTGGTTTTTTCTCTATCTCTTTATTTCTTTGGAGCATATCCCAAAGTGGAACTTCCAGATCAGTAGGCATAATAATTTTACGGCTTTATTAAACATCATTCTCTGAGGAAAACTGAACCACTTTTTAGTATCACTAGCAACATGTGAGTGTTATCAGTTTCCTAAACACCTCTGCCTTAGGTCATTATGAATTCCTGATCTAACAAATTGCAGGGTCTTATCCCTCTATGTAATTATAAAAGATTCCAACAATTACATATTTGGTTCCTACACATTCATTCAAGATAAAAACTCTAAGAACATTAATCAAGTATTTACCTGCCTGGTAAATGTGGCAGACATTGTGAAGGATGCAGAGGTGAACGGAATTCCATTCCGGACTTCTAGATATTCACACCACAGATGTGGACCTAACCATACACACACACACACACACACACACACACACACACACAATATCTACATAAGCAATGATCTTATACAAATAACACAATGGATTTACTTTCTTTTTTACTATTCTTTTCACCAGTGAAGTTTGACATGGGTGCTTATGTATCAAGAGATGACAGTAAAATTCCTGTGACTCTAAGAATCTCAAAAACTCAACTGTTTGTGTGTGCCCAAGATGAAGACCAACCAGTACTACTGAAGGTCAGTTGTCCTTAGTCTGCACTTACCCTCACTTCCATCTCATATGTTTGTAAATGAGCCCATTAGGCACCGGCCCTAGCAGGGTGGCACTGTCCTTTTCCCTCCCTACCACCTGCCCACACAACCCCACCTGGCTTCTCACCCATGCTCAGGCCATCCTAGGTAGGATCCGTGAGACTATAATGGAGGTAGCAAGAGTGAACAAGAGCTAAATTGCTTGCTTTCTTTTTTTCTCTTCCTCTGTATGACTCTACTGACCCCCCCCATCCCAGGGCAACCATTAATTCCATCACTCTTTACTGATGTCTATTATCTGACCTACATGATATTAGGCATTAGGACACTGGGGCCTGCCTCCAAGAAACTCCAATAAGCCAACTGAGATCAGAGAGGATTAATCACCTGCCAATGGGCACAAAGCAAAAAGCTAGGAGCCAAGACTAAAATGCAGGCGTGCTGACTGCAGTGCCTCTCCCTCTTCAGAGGCCCCAGCATTATCCCTTACCTCAGCCCCATCTCCACTACCACTGTGCCCCTCAAACATACAGGTTCACACATGCATGCCCACTGTAGCCTAAGATGTTTTCTCCACTGATGACTCTTATTCAGCAAATGTATAACCCAAGGCCTCCCATCCCCAGGTAGAATTTATGTGGACATCTATGTTTCTCTAACTGTATCAAGCAAAATGAAAGTTATAGCTACAGAGTAGGGCAGTAGCTTCATTCATGAATTCATTCAATGGTCATTATTTATTCAGAGCCTTTTATTTTCCAAGCATAGTGACAACAGCTATTTAGGCAGTGGTGAGTCAAAGCCCCTAGCATTATAGCACTTAGTCTTCTGGGGGACACAGACAATAGACAAGCCAAACAACCAACAAAGAAGTACAAGATGCTGCAAAGAAAATGTGCTGGGTGCCAAGACAGAGAAAAATGGGGGCATGCCATTTAGACAGAGTGGCAAGAGGAGAGCTCCTTGTGAGATGGGAGCTGCTGACAGGAGGGAGCATGCTATGTGGCGTGGGTGGAGTGGGCATTCTAAACAGAGGGTCTGGGTACACCCAGGCACCAGAGCTTCAGGATCTTTAAGGCCAACTTCAAGGATCGGAAAAAGTAGACTTGGAGCTGAGGCATTGTGAGAAGGAGGAAAGATATGCAGTGGCTAAGTGCTTGCAGAGCTTGAGTTTGGATTCCATTTTTTACAAAGAAAAACCATTAAGTGGTTTCACACAGTGCAGTGTCATAACCTCACTTATATTTCCTAAAATAGAGAGCAGATCAGAAGGAAGGAGAGAGAGAAAGCAGAGAACCCAATTAGAAGGTTATAACAGCAGCCATGGGTGGAGCAGGTACGGAATCAGGTGGAAAGAAATAGAATTGGACTATATTTTGGAGATAGAATGAACAGGAGGAAGAGGAGAAACTGCATTTACTGAGATGGGAACAACTAGAAGAGGAATAAGTTTTAGAAATAAAATTCTTGCTGACCCTTGAAACCCCAAGGAAACCTCAAGAAGGATATTTACTTGCTTTAGACTGAAAAGAATAGGAAAGAAACATCTCAACTTGGAATTTGAAATCTATTTTTCCATGAAAGTATTTTTCCATGAAAGTATTGCTAGATTCTATTCATACTCACAGGAAGAGCATATTCTAAAAAAAAATTGTATTGAAATAGTTTAACTACTGATATACCTGGGAAGTTATGTGTGTGTTTAACCTTCAATTGTTGACTTAAATACAAAGATAAATGTCGTCTAAATGCTAAATTGTTTTCCCAAAGAAAACACTTAGAGGTCAGTATATTTAGGAAGCTTAGAATCACCAGTGCTCAGATTTGATGCAGAATGCCTTATGCCTATGTTGAAACCAGGACATGAACAATGTTCACCACTTATCTGCCTGGATACAGTGAGATGCTAGTGCTAGTGTCATTGGCAGTCTTCATGAGTAATTTAGATCTCTCTCTAATCAGCTGAGGAAATCAACACTTGTGAATAGACTGGGTCATACATCTAATAGGCATTTAATAAATGCTTGCTGAATGAACAAATGAATGAAGAACCTATATCGTCACATTAAAGCCATAGTCCTAAAGTCCTCTTTCTCAGGAAGGCCAGATGCCAAGGGGTTGAGCTTCAGTTATTTTTCTATCATCTTCTTGTTCTCTAACAGAATTCTGTTCTCCTTTTGTAGGAGTTCCCTGAGACTCCCAAAACCATCACAGGTGGTGACACCAACATCCTCTTTTTCTGGGAAACTCATGGCAGCAAGAACTACTTCACCTCAGCTGCCCAACCACAATTGTTTATCGCCACAAAGCAAAACCATGTGGTACACATGGCAAGGGGACTACCCTCTATCACTGACTTTCAGATACTAGATAGCTAGGCTTAGCTTTTAGTCTACTCACTTACAAAGTGTTGACAATCTGTATGTACCATGTACATGAAGAAGTCCAATCCTTTACTCTTAGTCATTTGCTGAGCATGTGCTTAGTCTTTGTAATTCGAAATGAATGTTTACCCTCTTTGTAAGAGAGGAGCAAGGTCATAGAACCAACACTAACATACAACATTGTTTGTTATTTAAAGAACACCCTATACTTTGCACAGTACCAATCATTTTAGTTATTATTTTTCATAACAATCTTAGGAAAACCAGGGCTACTGACTATGCCTACCAAAAAGACTCTACCCATATTACAGATGGGCTGACTAAGGCATAAGAAAACTAAGAAATACATACAATAGCATTTGGAATGAGAAGCCACAGACCTAGTATTTAATTCCAACTGTTTGCCTTCTGCTGATGGATACTTTAATCAAATGGCATAAGTTTCTGGGACTTTGGTTTTATCATTTTCAAAATGGAGGGAATAATACCTATATCCTTCCTGCCTCAATAGTTTTTTATGCCAATCAGTGAGATCATTTTGGTAAAATACTTCTTGAAGCTAATCCTCAAGAAAAGGCAATACATGAAATATTTTTAAATTATTATTCTTGTGTATATATATTTATAAACATATTTATTAAGATATTAATAATTATAATATTATTATATTTATGGCAGTTCTTTGTATCCTCCAAGTGTGACCAGACATCATCAATAAAAGCAGACAATGTTTTCCAGGCTGAGTGAGTTTGATTTAGTTAGCACCAGGGCACTTTGTTCCAAGTCATGATTTTTCCATACCATGAAACTCTGCATTGTAGTATGTGGGAGCCCTATTATTATGATAATAAATTTATATTAATCACTTTGTTTGTTTATGCTGATAATTGGGCCAGTCTTTGATTCTTCTGCCCTTATACTTGTCTTGGCATTCTTGTGTCATTCAGTTTCACCTGGAATCAAGTCCTACTAGCTAAAATGAGATTAACTCAACTCTAGCAACCATGGGACCACTGTTATCTAAACTTTCTTTTCTGGAATATAATCAGTGTTTCTTCGGTTCTAAAATTTGTGAACAAACCATAGTGTTACATTATTATCAACAATAGCAACTGATACATTATTATCATAATTAAATAAAACAATAAAATTGATCTGACACACAGTTATTTGTTGTCTTAATCATTATTTTATTGCATGGTAATCAGAGACAAATGGCAAAAGTTTACATAAATAACTATACTTAGTGTTAATTTACAAAGCCAAACTAAGATTTTATGGTTTTTCTCTCCCCTTTGTTAGCTGCCAGTCTGCATAAATGGCATTAAGAATGATAATATTCCCAAGTTCAGTTCAAGCTCACATTACACATATACAACACTTATGCTCATGTGTCCACACAAACTCACATGTATGGAGCCACATTAAAAACAACTAAGGGACCCATTTGGAAAGCATGGGTACAAGATAGGTTGAATTGAAAAATCAAAAGAAATCAAGGCTAAAAGCAAGAGAACTTGGAATGGGGAAGAAGTAGTCCAAGATGACCCTGCTTCCTGGTACTGGAGACTGGATGAGTGGTGGCATCTTAATTAGCATTTTTGGTAAAAATATGGAGTTTTTCTACATTCTAGGATGAAGTATGATGAGCATAATTTTAGATATGTAATTTCAGCTACTAGCAGAACATCCAAGTGAAAATGTATAATGGGCAGATGACAATGTATCTGGAACTCAGAAAAAGTTAGAGCTAAATATAGATTTGGAATGGTATGTAGTAGGCAAAATCCTAAAAGTGACATCAAAGGTAGAAGAGAAGTATATGATGAACACTGTTGGTTATCCATGAGATCACCAACTTCTCTTCTTCCTTCCTAACAGAACCCTGATTTCATTCAGAAGTCAACATACCCTGCCCCAAAGAATGAATTCAATTGGTTTAAGATCATGTCCATTCTATCCTCACATGACTAAGTCATTTGACTTAATCCTGTCGAATGACATCAATCTGCAGGGGGCAACTTCTGGAAGAGACTTTCTATCCTGGTAATAAGAGAGAGCCATAGAGAAGAAGGTCCTTTTTCCTCCTTCCTTCCTTCCTTCCTGCATGAGACACATTCTATGAGAATGTGAAACTTGGGACTGTAGTCACCAACCTGCAACCATTCAGAAGACACAGCCACACATTGAGGAATACAGACTGGTGAGAAAAAGAAACTGCATCTTTAACAACATTGTTAACACTAAGATCCCACCTCCAGACTTTAAGAAAACAAGAAATGCTACTGCTATTAAGCCATTTTTGAGTGGTCTGCTATTACTTACAGTCAAACTCAGCCTAACTGATACACAGAGCACCACAGAGACCTAGTCTCTTGTTCATTTCACCCTGTTCTTCCTAGCAGCCACTATTTTTCTAGGATTTCCTTACCCCAAGACTGGCCAGAGTAAGATTAAGTAACACCTGCTTCCTTGATGTTCTTTTTAAAGAAATACTTAAAAAATACTTAAGAAACTATTTTAATATTAGTATATCTTAATATTTTCAGAAATCGGAAAATACAAAACACTGACCAAGCAACACGAATTCAAGAAGTCTTAAAAAGTATGATAGCTCAAAAAAACTCCAAACAATAAATGCTGGCGTGGTTGCGGAGAGAGAGGAGCACTCCTACACTGCTGGTGGAAGTGCAAACTAGTTCAACCTCTACTCTACCCCCTCACCACCTACACAGTAAGATCCACAATGATTCTCAACATCTGAGCACTGAACTTGTTAGAGTCTGTGACTTTTATTACAGACATACATCAGTTTCCAAATTGATGAGCATAATCAAAGCTCTGCCTTTCGTCCAAGACAAAAGCAAAAACAAAAGATAGTTGCCTAACCCTCCTCGACTGAGTCACCTCCTTGACATTTAAAAATACCTACACCTGAACTTTTGGAGAGATGGAATTGTTGAGATAGCAATAATTATTGTGGTGGATATGAAATATGCTTGTTTATCTGTATCTATTCCTTGATTGTATGCCAGTTTTATAACTACATATATTTGTCAACATTGTCCAACATTGGCTTATCAATATCTTTGATGTACTTTTTGGCCAGAAATGAATTCTGTATAGTACTCAGGATAAGGTCAGACCAGCACAGCCTAGAGTTGGATCTTTTCTTTCCTAGTTTGGACACCAGGCTCTTGTTACAACAGCTTAAACATTAGCTTTTTAAACACCAAGTGACATTGTTGATTCATATGTATTTATAGATATAGACCTATAGGTTTTCAACCTAATTCTGAACTTCAAATGTATCCTATTAAATTTAATCTTGTTAATTTGGCCCCAAGAACTTTCTAGATTGTGCTGGATCCTGATTCTCTCATTTGATACACTGGCACTCTCTCAATTTTTGACATCTGCAATTTGGAAAGCATATTTTTATTTTGCTCATAATACATTGTAGAGTATAAAGAATAAGTTACAGGGCCAGGCGTGGTGGCACACGCCTGTAATCCTAGCACTCTGGGAAGCCGAGGTGGGCAGATTACTTGCGTCAGGAGTTCAAAACCAACCTGAGTGAGACCCCGTCTCTTACTAAAATAGAAAGAAATTAATTGACCAACTAAAACTATAATACAAAATTAGCCGGCATGGTGGCACATGCCTGTAGTCCCAGCTACTCGGAGGAGCTGAGGCAGTAGGATCGCTTGAGCCCAGGAGATTGAGGTTGCTGTGAGCTAGGCTGATGCCACGGCACTCACTCTAGCCTGGGCAACAAAGTGAGACTCTGTCTCTAAAAAAAAAAAAAAAAAAAAAGAATAAGTTACAAATACTTTTACAGTGTGATCTTGTTTCTATTTAAAATACCTATTATTAATATTCAAATGATTATGGAAGGATATTCACCATCATGTGAATATCTTATCTCTGAATGACTGAATAATTTATAATTTAATGGGTTTTCTCATTATATACTTTTCTGATTTTTTAAGTGAATATATGATTGCATGACAAAATTCCAATTTACACAAATTTTATTATTTAAAAACATCTCATTGAACTATACATAAAATGGATGAAGTTCAATATATGTAAATTATACCTCAATAGAGAGGAGCTTCTTTTAATTTACAAGAAAAAAAATATCTCTATTTCATTTCTTTCTTTGTGTAACCAGAGTAGTCTTTCTTTTTGTACTCTCTCTTGACCCCAGGCATGAGATGTTCACTTCCCTAATATGAGGTCATTTATCTTTCTTGTCATTGTTTGCCTTTCCCTCTCATTCTTTTTCCCTAATATGCACTCTTACTGGCCAAGAACATCTTTGCTCCCTCTTCTCAAAAACTTATCTCTTACCTATTTTTCTATCACAGTGGCTGACAGACAAACAATACAGGGTCTTACGCAACCTTCTGAGCAAACTGGCTAAGCCCTCTAGAATGACTAGCTGAAGTCTTTAGAGTGCCTGGGCTTCTCTAACATTAGAGATTTTTTAAAGTATACATGTTGGGCCTCACATCTGGAGATTCTGATTCAGTAATTCTGAGTGAGACTTTGAGCACCTTAGTTTTTTTAAGCTCCAAAAGTAATTCTCTTGTTTATCACTGGTTAAGAACCACTGAATTAAGGAACTCCCAAAGTCAAAGATGGTTTTATCATAGCGCTAACAATGGCTTCCCTTTGGCCCAGTCAATCCAGGGTTAGAGGAGGCGAGAATGCACAAGTCCCATCAATTCAACAGAAGCTATCTGACTGCCACAGGGATACCAGTG